CCGCGGCCGGGGCGGGGCGGGGCGGAGCGCGCGCGGTGCGGGTGGACGTGCGGCTGCCGCGGCAGGACGCTCTGGTCCTGGAGGGAGTCAGGATCGGCCCGGAAGCCGACCCGGCGCCCCCGCTGGGCGGGCGCCTGCTACTGGTGAGCGCTGCCGAGCCTTCTGGCCGCCTCACCCAAAGCCCTCTCCCGCACCCTTGGAGACCCCTCTCTCAGATCCAGCCTTCATCCTGGACCAACTCAGATCCAGCTTTCATCCTGGACCTCTCCCCAGGCTGCCCAGGCCTCCAGCATTCAGGCTTCCGAAGCCGGAGATGCCCTCCCCGCCGAGCTCGTTCCCAAACCCTGGTCTTGCATCCTCTGTGCCCAGCCATGGCTCTCTCCTCCTCCTCACCCACACCCTCCTCTCATGGCTCCTTGCCACACAGATGGACATCGTGGATACCGAGCAGGAGGTGCCAGGAGAAGGCTGGATTGCTGTGGCATACGTGGGCAAGGAGCAGGCAGCCCAGTTCCACCAAGAGAATCAGGGCAGTGGCCCGCAGGCCTATCCCAAGGCCCTGGTCCAGCAGGTGCAGGGGATGTGTGGGGGGAGGGAGGCTGGTGGAAAGGGTCCCGAGGCATGTGCGAGATGTGGCTACCAGGTGGACCTCTGAGGAACTTCCAGGGAAACCCTGGGCCTGGGTAGGTCAGGGGACCCCAGTTTGGAGGAATCAGGTCAGTATGGTGTGGGAGCAGGGAAGTGAGGGGAGACCAGAGAGAGGTCGGGAAGCTCTTCCAGGCTCTGGAAGTATGGGATGGGGAGTTCCTGCTGGGGGCCGGTGAGGGAACTGCCCTGCTAGGACCAGGGAAGGCACAGAGCATCTGGAGAGAAGGCAGGAGGAATGAGAGTTGCTGCCCTTGACCTCAAGGAGTTTATAGCTAGTCTGTCCAGTTTAGAAGCAAAGAGAAGCTAGGGCTGCAGGTGGTGAGACAGGTGTACGGGCAGGATGTATGCTAGCTCCTGCCTTCTGTCCTGTAGATGCAGCGGGCCCTCTTCCTGGGAGCCTCTGCCCTGCTTCTCCTCATCCTGAACCACAACGTGGTCCGAGAGGTAAGCCTGAGCGGGCTGTGGGGGGGAGCAGGCCAGGGAGTGGGGGGCCAAGGCCTGCTGACCTCCCTGTCCCCCTGCAGCTGGACATATCCCAGCTTCTGCTCAGGCCGGTGATCGTCCTCCATTATTCTTCCAATGTCACCAAGCTGTTGGAGGCACTGCTACAGTGAGTTGGAATTTAGGCTCCAAAGAACTGAGCCTGGGAGCCTGGGTGCTTGAGGGCCCCAACTCTCCCACGGGCTCAGGGCTCTCTGGACCAGAGCCTTACCTGTTAGTCTTGAGGCTGTCTTCTATCAGGCTGAAAAATGGGTGAGGGGACAGAACAGAGGTGCTAGGGCCTGGAGCTGGGAGAGGTGGCTTTGTGGGCAGAGGTACTGGCGCCGGCAAGAAGGAAACTGGATTTCCTGGGCTTGCGGGCTTCCCTGGTCTGGCTGGTATAAAAACTGGAAAGGCCTGGAGGCCAAAGCAGAAGCCCTGCAGTGGTGACATTCTGGGTTATCCTTTTCCCGCAGAGCTTGGGTGGTGGGTCTGAGCCTTCCTTCCCAAGAATCCTTCCATCTGAATCCTCATGACATTCCTTCCCAGGAGGACTCAGGTCATGGCAGAGATCACCAGCGGAGAGTCCCTGTCAGCCAACATTGAGTGGAAGCTGACCCTGTGGACCACTTGTGGCCTCTCCAAGGATGGCTATGGAGGATGGCAGGACCTGGTGTGCCTGGGAGGCAGTCGTGCCCAGGAGCAGGTGGGTGCTAGGTGGATGCTAACAGGGCCTAGGGAAAGGAGGCTCAGGTGGGGCCACATACATGGCTGTGTCTTGTAGCCCTGGGCCTTTCCCCACCTTGGTGGCCAGGACAGCCTCTCCCACCCCACAGGAATGCTGTCAGTGTTCAGTGACATGGTGCAGGTGGGCATTCAGTGCAGCACCTGGCCCAGGGTCATATGCGGTCGGTGTTAGCTGCTTCCCAGTACCTTCAGAATAAAGTTCAGACTCCGTCTGAATTTCACAGCTGTCCTGATCACTCTCACTTGTCCTATTTTTTTTAGTCTTTTCCCTGCACTCCGGCCACTCTGTGTCATTTACTGCCCCCCAAACATGCCCTGGTCTCCTATGACTGGGGCTTGTCCACCCCTCATCTTTTCTCTGTCTCCACGCATCCCAGTCTGGCCAGAACCTTCATACGCATCCTGCCAGCCTCCTTTGGAAAGCTTCCCTCGTACCTTCAGGCTCTCTCTCCCTCCCGTACATCACGGCGGTGCTTTTTCAGGCCTTTTGTAGGCCTCTTGAGACAAACCATCCTGTATGTATTGGGAATATAACTTTGTCTCCTGATGGCCAGGACTGTCTCATTGTCTCTGGATCTTCAATGCTTGGCGTCAAGTGGGATCAAGGGGGCCCGAGGGTATTCTGTCCCCAGGCATTTCTTGAGTCTCTACTCCACACTGGCAGCCGTGTGCCAGTCTCCTGCGGGTGTCAGCCAATGTGGGCTGTGCAGGGCAGCTTCAAGTCAGGCTGCCTTGGATTCAAGTCCTGGCTCTGAAACCTTAGCTGAGTGACGTTAGGCCAAGTGTCCAGTCTCTTTAACCTATGTTCCTCATTTGTGAACAGGGACAGTACTTGGTATATGCCCCTTATAGGGGCCCACACAGACCTCTGGACAGGGCATTGGTGAGCACCCTGGAGGTGGGGATGTGCACAGTTTGTGGGTCAGCCTGGCTGGGGCAGAGGGTAAAGCTGAGCAGCCTTGGCCATACTGCTGGCCAGGGTCAGGGTAGGCCCATGCAAATACTAGGTGCCACGGCAGCCGAGGTATCCAAAGAGTGACTGGTGGGCATTGGACTCCATCCCTCTGGCCTCTGGAATCCAAGCTGCAGTACCCATATCTTCACTGATTTGGTGACAAGCCCCGATCCCGCCTTCCTGCCTCACGTGGGGCTCCCCAAGATGCACTGAGCTTGGCCAACCCTTCAGCCCACCCAGTGCTTGCTGGTTGCTCTCAAGCATGGAGCTCTAGAGAAGACTCTGCCCTGGAAGCTACACTATGATAGCCACACAGTCCTGCCACAGGTCACCCTGAGTCAGCATGGCATGGGGCACAAGGGCAGGACAGCTCCAGCCCTGGACTTATGGAGACCCAGTCTGGAGAGCAGATGGGCTAGAGATATGCTGTCACTCTGCTGGGGTGAGCACTGAGCTGATGGTGAGCACAGTGCCCTCCAAGGCACAGTGAAGGCATCTGAGCCCAGCCTAGGTCTTGGAGATGGCTTCCTGGAACAACTGCCACCACCAGACTGCAGCTGGAGGGGAGCAGGGGGAAGGATGGAGCAGGGACTTGGGGCTTACAGATTCCTCTTGGTAATAGCCCCCAGGGCGCCTCCACCCAAGCAAAAGCAGCATCTTGTGGCACTGACAGCACCCAGCCTCATCTAGGGTGCTGGCTTCTCTATCAAGTCATTTTTCAGCCTGTCCCCTATGGTACGGTACTTGAACTTCAGCACTGGTCAGGGAAGAATGTGATGGCAGAGAGCCACTCAGAACACAGAAAGCTTTGAAACAAGTGTGTTTATTAGTCGTGACACACCTGCAGGCTGTGAGTAGTATGCCTGTGGAGAAGTGTGTTGTTTTGCTCGGCTACGTCATTTCCTGAGCCAGCTATGTGGTGGTCAAGACCTAGCAGCCATAATGATTATGACGGGAGTGAAGTCAAGGTCAGTGTGCTTTCCCCAGTAACTCTGAGGCCCCCAAGTTTTAAAGCGTACTCAGTTGTATTTCCTTTCTAAATTCCTTCCACAAAGAAGGCACTGGGGCTACAGTGGTGACTGTCAGCCATGCTTCCTTCCTGTGGACAGGAGTTCACGGACCCCCGAGCGTGGCACCTGGGGGACACTTAAAGTAGGTGTGAGGAGTACTGGGAGGTTATGGGAGCGCATTCGCCTAGGCATGGTGGTCAGGGAAACTTCCAGAGCAGGGTGTGTCCAGAGGTATGAGCCAAGGAAAGGAAAGGAAGAAGAGAGTTCCCAAAACGGGGAACATTGTGAGGAAAGGCACAGATGTAGGAGGAGGTCAAGGGCATGGGATACTGAGAGGAGGGAGGCAGTGGGTGAAGGAAGTGGGGGACACTGTGGGGAAAGGTGCCAGGCAGGGAGCTGCGGGGCCAGGTGTGCAGGTGAGATCCCTCTGACTGTGGGTGGGACATGCTAGAAAGGGCATGTGAGACACCTAGAAGAGCTTTGGGGCTGGCTCCCTCTGAGACTGTGGTGAGTAGGTGATGGTGAGGCCTGAGGAAGCAGATAAGGATGAAGTGTGTTGGGGTTAGGGTGGGAGGGTGACTGGGTTCTGGGCTGGATGCTGGGTTGGGAAGTCTGTGAGGTTGCCAGATTGAAGCTCCCATGAGTACAAAACACCAGGTTTGTTGCTCAGGAAAAGTTGAACTGGGACAGATGTGGCTCTCCCTGGAAGATGTGACAAATCTCCTCCAGGGAGATGTGCAGGGTGAGCAGAGGTAGCCGGGACAGACCCTCAGGAGCACACAGGTGGGAGGTACAGACAGAGGCCTTCAGCACGCCTCACCTGCCTGGTCCTCGCATTCATGGGGTGGATGTTCCTGAGGGAAGAGTCAGGCAGCCCCAGAGTCCTTGACACCTGCTTCCCTTCCTAGAAGCCCCTGCAGCAACTGTGGAATGCCATCCTGCTGGTGGCCATGCTCTTGTGCACAGGCCTTGTGGTCCAGGCCCAGCGGCAGGCGTCGCGGCACAGTCAGCAGGAGCCCGGAGGCCAGGTGGGAGCCAGCCCGAGGAAGCCCCAGAGCCCCAGCTCTTGGGCCTGCAAGACTGTGCCTGTCCTCTCCCCACAGGTGGACCTGTTCAAGCGCCGTGTAGTTCGGAGACTGGCATCCCTCAAGACACGGCGCTGCCGTCTGAGCAGGGCAACCCAGGGCATCCCAGAGCCTGGCACTGAAACCTGTGCTGTGTGTCTGGACTACTTCTGCAACAAGCAGGTTAGTGCCTGGGCAGAGCCTAGCCATCAGTTGACCGTGATGTCTTCTGCCCTGCTTTCGAGACCTTGGAACCACCCCCACCAGGCCCTTCTTCTCCCAGCCCCCCCAGGGCTATAGAAAGCAGAATTTTGAGGCACTGAGGTGGCCACGAGGTTTCAGTTCCCTGGCTCAGCTGAGGGGCACGGGACCAGGCCCCTGTCCCTGTGAGCTGAGCTCCTCCTTCCCAACCTACAGTGGCTTCGGGTGCTGCCGTGTAAGCATGAGTTTCACCGAGACTGTGTGGACCCCTGGCTCATGCTCCAGCAGACCTGCCCGCTGTGCAAATTCAACGTTCTGGGTGAGCACCAAGCCAGGAGCCCGGGGCTAACTCCACCTGTTCCTCACCTGATATCTCCTCCCTGTTCTTTTTCCTCCTTCCCTGCAGGGAACCGCTACTCTGACGATTAGCTGCCCCAGCTGAACTCTGCACATGGGGATGACCCCTCTCGCCTGTACCCAGCCCTTAGCCTGGGCTCCCAGGACAGGACAGCAGGATGGACAGGACAGCAAGCCCTATGAGAGAAAGGAAGGATGAGGGCACCACCATGTCCACACTGGACAGGAGGGACTCACAGCTTCAGGCTGAAGATGCAGGGCCAGGACCTGCCTGTCAAAGAAGAGTGGTTGCTTTGGGGCCCTTCTCTGCAATCCTGGGATATCTGTGTCTGCCCTCCTCAGGCAGCTCCCAGGTCACTGGGGAAAGAGAATGTGGGGCCAGTGCAGCTGTCCCGAGGGTTCTGGGAGCTCTCTGTATCCAGTCAGAGCATCACCTGGGGGCTGAGGCTACAGTGGCCAGGTTTTGTGCTTATTTATTGTGGGGGTGGACTGAGGGAAGAGCTGCCTGGCCTTGGAGTAATTTTTCAGGACATGTCTTGGGCAAGGCTGTGATGTTAAACCCAGAGGCCCCTCTACTGCTCGTGCTCCCGGTCCTTGAGCACTGGGAGTCATGGGTCCCACTGCCTGTCCAGCTGGGTTCCCGTATCAGGCCTGGCTGGGACCAGAGGCCTTAGAAACCATCCAGTCCTGTACTTCTTGGTTGGGGCTATGTGTTGCTGACTGAGATACTTGAAGCCACAGGATAAATATGGTGCGTCTTCCAGGGGCATCCACTTTTTTTTTAAGAGTTGGGGTAGGGAAGGTTTAATAGCTAAATAAACATGGATATATTTTAACATAAGATGTAAAAATGTATGTGGATACTTTAAAATTAAAAAATCACCTTGGGTTCTACTGCCTCTGATGGGTAGAATTCCAAGATGGTCAAAGATGTCCCCTACTGCTCCCCCACCATGAACATGTCTTATATAATCTCTGGAACTGTGACTCTAAGGGATTTTACTCCCATGATGAAGTTATATGGAAGAGTTGACCTGAAGATAAAGTAGCCACATGGGTTTGACCTAACCATATGAGGCCGTTGAAAGCAGACTTTTCTACGGCTGGTGGAAGAAGAGGCATCAGAGATTTGAAGCAAGGAGGATGGCCTTTGGAGCTAGGAGAGGCCCCATCTGAAACCAGCCAGTCAGGAAATGAGGACTTCAGTCTTGCAGCCACAAGGATCAAGATTCTGCCAAAAACTAGAACAAGCTTGGAAATGGATTCTTCCCCAGAGTCATCAGAAAGGAATACAACCTGGTAGATGCCGTGGTTTCAACCTTCTAAGACCTTGCACTGAGAGCCTAGCCCACAGAGCCTGGACTTCTGACCTCCAGAACTGTAAGCTAACTGGTAAATGAACAATGAGTCAGTGATAGCCTGAGAGTGTTGCTTAGCTGTGGGAGGTCCTTCCCATGGATGTGGGCCCAGGCCCCTGCTGAGGGAGCCACCCAGAGAGCTTGTGTCCCCTGTGGGGGGTGCCCAGGGCATCCTAGCCTCCTTCAAAATACCAGGCCCTGCAGAAGCAGAAAGTTAGGCAGACCATGGCTGCGGTCGCTTAGCTGTACACATGGCCCTCTTGACTCTTTTCTGTTAGCTGAGGCACTCCACCTGATGGCCTCCTCACCAAAGGATAATGTCAGGCAGCTAGTTGTGCATACCCTGAGAAGTCCTCAGCAAGGTTTTAGAGCCTGTCTTTCACAGACAAGGGGCAGGCTGGTGGCTTCATGAGGAAAATTGGACTGGTGTGTGGCTGGTAGCATCAGTGACCAGTCACATGGTATCCCGGACTGGGTAGGCCCCAAGGAACAGGCCTGGTAAAGCCACGATTGGCCAGGATGTGCAGCTCTCAGGTTGGGGGAGGCCTTGCTCTTCAGTGGCCTCCTGGGACTCTAAGCTCCAGGATTTACAGAAACCCTTCCTGCCTCTCGCTATTTCCTAAGGTGAGGAGCTCCTCAGAGAAAGGAAGCCTGACATTCTTGGGTACCTATGTGCCAGGCCCAGGTTCACAGCCAGGTGTGGAAGGCAGAAGGCACGGCTGCCCTCTGCCTGCCTCTGTGAGCCCAGTGCCAGGACCCTACCTCTGACTCCTTGCTTGCCTCAGGCATCCTCACTGGGCCTTGCCCTGTACACCCCCACTTGACCCTCAGTAACTATTGATGCCAGTCACAGAATCCAGGTTTACCCCTTGGTCTTTGCTATGGGAATAGGAAAATTGCCTTTCCCTGGCCCAAGTCCTCAAAGCTTCTTTCTGGCCTTGGTGGACCCTCCTCCCCCACAGCCCATCAGGAGGGAGGCAGGAGCTCCCATTTACCGAGGGCCTGTAGTGCTGGCCTATTACCGTTTGGCTGGGGAGTTGGTGGTCCCTGCCTAAGACAAGGAAGGAAGGATTGACTATTTCCCTGGGACAGCCATGCTGTGAGGCCAAGATTGCTGTGGGCAGATGGCTGGGCTTTATTACAGTGAATGGGCTGCCAGCCACCTGCTATCCAGTGCCAGCCATGCTGCAGGCTACATGGGTCGCTCCTGGGGCTGGTGTATAGAGCTGGCATGGCCCCGGCCTGGTGACAGTCTCCTCCTTAGCCTGGCCAAGGCTTGGATGGGGTTCTGGGTGCAGGTGGCCGAGTGGGTCACATCCTCCAGCAAGGACTTGCTGGGCCAGCTGCAGGGCTGCCGAGGTGGAGATGCTTGGGACTGGCCTGGCAGGGTCCTGCCCACACTGCCCGTCCTGCTGCCAGGAGAGTGCCGCCTTCCCAGGGACCTGAGGGAGGACCAGATCCAAGATCCCCTGTGAGCCAGAGGGACCACTCCGCCCATCTGCCCCTCCCCTGGCAAAGCCACACTTACCCTGGGGATGCACTCTGGACCTGGACTGGGGGTGCTGCTCCCTGGGTTCCCCTGCTGGGAGGGGACCACAGCTGGTCCTGCGGAATCAGCTGTGAAGAAAGCCAAGCTAAGAAGGGCCCACCCCTCCCCACTGTACAGAGAAGGTGTTAAAACCAGGGATGAGGAGAGAGGGCCTAGACCCATACCCACAGTCCCTTCCACTAAGGAGCAGGGCTTAAGAAGCCTTCCAGGGCCTATCCTTGGCTGCAAACCCTCAGGCAGCCAGTGTGAGAAGGTTGTTTTCTGACAAGGCTTTTGGTTGCACTTGAAATAATATGAAGGGCTCTGGGGGGATTTGGAGCTAGAAGTCACTGGATCCATTAACATTCTCACACCTTGAAATGTGAAAGATGTTTCACGAAAGTATACCCTAAAGCCGCAGGCAATGAGGTGGGCTTTCAACAAGTTCCCAGGGCAGAGTCTAAAGACCTCTGCTGGATAAGGGCTTCTTCCAAGTCCCCAAGGACCTCCCTCCCCAAGGGCCCACCTTGAGGCTTCCCTGCTGGGCCACCTCCCGGATTTTGGACAGCATTGACTGGAGCCGCTCATTCTCCTCCTGCAGGACCCGGATGCGGATGTCGTTGGCCTGTACTTGCCTCTCCATGTCATCTGTGACATTGCCGGAATCTGTGGGGACATGCTATCTGGAACCCCACCCTGCTAGGTCTGCCTTTTGTGCCCAATGGGACAGGACCTCAGAGGGCAAGTCTACCAGCTTGGATGGGTACCCAACAGGCACAGGGGCTGGGCAGTGCACCAGGCCTCCCACCTCATCTTCCTTCTCCTAAGGCCTTGTTCCCCCTTCTCTATCCCCCACCTGCTGGGAAGGTAACCACAGCATCATAAAATTTGTGGTTCCTAGGTAACCACAGCATCATAAAATTTGAGAGCTGGATGGTTCCTAGAGCTCACAGAAGACTTAGCAAATAAGCAAGGGACTGAGTCTTTCCCAAGGCCACCTGTTTTGATGGGCTAGAAAGGTAAAAATGAGCTGGTCAAGGTTACACAACCAGCCCGTGGGTGGTAGTTACAGGAAGGATGCTCATTCCCACTGCTTTGGCAATGGATGCTTCCTTCCAGTTCTATGAACCCAGGTGAGTAGCTGTCCCTTCTGGTTCTCAGTTTCCTGGTTTGTAAAAAGGGGCTGCTACCTGCATCACAGGATGGTTGAGACGGGGACAGAAGGGCCTAGCACTAGTGCTCAGGACTGATGATTCATTACAAGCAGTGAAGATGCAGCAGATTCTCCAGACAGCTCTGTAGATGGCTTCACCCCAGAGCATTAGAGGGCTAGATGAACTGGGAGAACTCAGGTCATTTACCATCCAATCCTGTGCCGAGAAAGGTACCTAGCACTCCTGTGCCATGGGTCCTGGACACCAGACAGATGGGGATTGTGTCCTTGGAACTGGCTCCACCGTGTGGCTTGGGGAGATGCCAGGAAGGGAAGTTGAGCAATGGGTGGCATGTGCCATGGTGAAGAGTATGGGCTACAGAGCCGGCCAAATCTGTCTGGATTCAGCTGTTGTGACTGGAGGCAGTCATGGCACCCCTGAGCTTCCATATCTTTGTCTACACAGAGAGTGGATCATGTGTGAAGTGCTTGGTGTCTTGGCAGCTCCGCTGGACTGTACCACTGGCTGCCCCCTCTACCACCCTTACTGCAGGTTGGAGAATTCAGGTCCTCGTGTCTTGCCACATGAACCCTCAGCTGCATGCCCCAGCCCCTGGTGTGCCCTTGGCACTCTCCTGGGTCCCTACTTTTGATCTGAGCCTTGATGGGGCCATGCAGGTCCGGGAAGGCCACCAGCAGCTGTTCCCGCTCCCTCAGCTCCACCAGCTCCCGCTCCAGCTCTAAGATGGTCAGCCGCAGGTCTGTCGTCGCCTGCTCCAGACCTTGCTTCTCCTGCTGCAGGCTCTGTAGCAGCTCCTGGGGCAGAGGGAGGCTCAGGCCTGGGTCCTGAGCCACATGGTGGCTCCTATCTCCCTTGGAGACACGATCCCCACCCCCCAGACACAGGACAGGCCAACAGGTACTCAGCTGGCTAGAGGCTTCTCTGGTGAAAAGGAAGACCCCATCCTCACCTGCTGGGCCTGGAGCTGGCACTGCCCTTGCTCCTTCTCGCTCTGCAGGCTCCGCAGCTGCTCTTCCACAAGGCCCCGCTGGGCCTCAGCCTCATCCAGGCTGCCCCGCAGCTCCTCACGCTCCTGGTCCAAGCTGTCCAGCTGCTGCAGCAGGGCTCGCTGCTTGGCCTGCAGGGACTAAATAGGAATGGATGGGTAGGGAGGCCCACAGGGCTTGGCCTGGCTGTGTGGAATTAAAGAAGCTAAGTATCTACTACCCCCCAGCAGCTCTCCCAGGGTGTGTGACTGTGTGTGGAGCAGCATGGGGGGAAGGGGCAGAGGGAGGTCAGCAGCATACAGGTGCACACCCACCTGCTCAAGGTAGGCCTCCCAGCTTGAAGACCCCACCCCCTTGGAATGCCATTGGCTGACTCTGTGGGTCTCACTCCTACTTCTTTCCAGTCACATATAGACTCCACTTAGAGAGGAATTCTGGAAACTAGGATTTTCTTCTTCTTAGGTCTCCAGTGTTACAACAGCCTGTGTCATTCAAACCCACACTTCTTGATACCCACTGAGGGTAAAGCAAGAACCACCAATGAGCTAGTCTGTTCTAGACAGCTGGCTCCACCTCTCGCTAGCTGTGCAGCCTTGGGCAACTTTCCTGAACCTCACTGAGCCTCAGTTTCCTCGTATGTAAAATGGGGATGATGAGTATCTTACTCTTCTGTTGTGGCAGTAAGAATGAGAGGGCTACTCAGTGCCTAAGTCACAGCAGACACCTGATACAGTGTCTGGACTATTTGCAGGCACTAACAGCTCCCACCTGGGGTAGGTTTTCCCTATCCTGGACCCATGCCTGACCCTGAGGACACACAACACAACTAGGCTCCTGGCACCCTGTCAAGTTTTTGAGGGTAAGTCCAGTCAGAACAGACTCCAGACCTGCTCCCTTCACTGGGTGGCAGGTCACCTGCTCCCCATAGCCACATCTCTGGGGACTCCTGTGACGTCCCATTACCCAGAGCATGGCGACACCTGGACTCTTTGCCCTCTCTGTTCCCCTGGCTGATGAACTAATCACCAGTCACTGGCATCTAGCCCAAAGGCCACCTCATTCTGGAAGCCATTCTGGACTCCTACAGCAGATGTGGCTGTCCCTCCCTGGACCCTGCAGCACTCTCCCTGCCCCTTAACCATCCAGCAGAGAGGTGTGGCACATTTGCTCATCCTTGCCTATGAGGACCTCTTCCAGAGTGAGGCCTCATCAGGCAGTATCTGTCCCTGGGTCGCTGTCCCCCAGTGCCTGGCTCAGGCAGACTCTGTTAAGTCACCCTAAAACCCAGAGGTGTGATGGAGAGCAAGTGCCCAACAGAGATGACTCCATGACCCTCTGCCAGTGGAGCCCTCTCTCCCTGCAACCCATGCAGGGCCCCCAGCCTCACCTCCTGGTGGAGGACCATGCTGTCGACACGGGCCTTCTCCTTGTCCAGTTCTGTGCTGGCCCAGCAGATCTGCTGACTGGCCCCTTCCAGCCGCCCCGCCAGCAGCTGCACCTGCTCCTCCAGCTGCTGCACCTGCCTCTCAGCCGCCGCCCTGCGCTCACCTTCCTCCTGCAGCTGCTGAGTCTTTGCCTCTGCATGATTGAGTGGGCATGGGAGGGACAGGATAGGGAAGTCTGGGGTATGAGTCCCTGCACTACCTCTGACCCAGGATGGGACCCGAGGCAGGGGGTCATATCATGTCTCCAGGCTTTAGTGTCTTCAGTCACAAAATGGGCTCTGGACCCCGCTTGAGGCAAGTTTGAAAAGTAGGTTCTTTCTGGGTAGGAGGTGGCACCCTAGCTCAGTCATCACCCAACATTGTGGTCAATCAGGCCCACCCATCTGAGGTTCCCTTTCTCTTTGCTCTGGAAGCTCAGGGGATAGAGATGGAGGATGCTCACCAGTTGCACTACCAGCCTGAGATGTGGCCTGGGACCTATGACAGTGCTCCTTACCCACAGCCTGTGTGGACTCCTGCTGCTGCTTCAGCTCCCTCTCCAAGGTGGCCACTTTCACCTTTAGGTCACTTGTTTCTATGGCAACCAATAGAGAGGCCTTTCAGAGGGTCTCTTAGGCCTGGCTGGTGGCCTTCATGCCCACTATGCCCTGCAGAGAGCTGCCCCCGTGCAGAGGGGCCACCTGGGGTTGTGGGAGGAGATCTGGGGAGCTGCTGGCGGCCTAGGCCCTTGTCCACCCTGCTTCTCCCCATCTAGCTGCCATGTGTCTATACCCATCTGGGCCTGAGTGTCCTCCATGGAGGTCACAGTGAGGCTCAGAAAGGGTAGTAACCTACCCAGATCCTCAGGCCTTACATCAGTAAGCACTGGCCAACTTCCAGTGCCAGAAGCTGTCTCTCTAACAGCTTTTGCCAAAACCAGAGAGGCTGCTCTGCTCAGCTAAAGGTAATCAGGGGCATTAACTCCCCAGAAATAACCCTCAATGACTGACAGAGGAAGAGTAAATACCTCAGTTCTCTCTCCTACTGACAGGACAGGTCAAACGTCCTACAGTTGCTCACAGCATCACCACTGGGTGACCACACCCTTCTTTGCTGCCTTTCTGTCCCTGCCTCTTGCCCACTCCCCAACCTAGGTTTCTTCCACACAAACTATTTGTACCCCAAACCCTGTGTCAGGAGTGCCTGTGTGCCAGGTGTCCAGCTGCTGGGTACAGACCTGCAAGCAGTTGCTGCTTGTCACGCTCCCACTCGGTCAGCCGCTGCTTGGCCTCCTCCTCCTGCCGCTGTAGCGCCCCCTGCTCCTGCTGCAGTGCCTGCTCCAGCTTGTGCACCTGCTTCTTCAGCCCATCCTTCTGCCCCTCAGCCTCCTCCAGCTGGGCCCTAAGGGGCCCCACAAGCTGCACGAGGGCCACCACATGCTTACTCAGGCGTGTCAAGTCTTTGCTCTGCTCTGCTGCCCAGCGGCCCACAGTGGCAGCTGGCAGCGGCCTGAGCCCCATGCTGTCCTGCACCAGCTGTTGGAACTGGCCTAAGGATGAGGGCAAGTTCTGGCTCTGACACAGGCCAATGACCACCTTGCCCACCTCCCACAGGCTGCCCTGGATGCTGGTGCAGGCATCACAGGGCACCAGGGCTGTCTCAATGGTCTGGGAGTGGACACTCTTGGTGTTCTTGGAGGTGGTGACAGAACACCGCAGGGAGACTCTGACAGGGATGCTCTCTTGTGCTTGGCAGGTCTGAGACAAGTCTGGCATTGGGGAGGGGGACTTGATGAACTTGGCAGTCACACATTCAGGGCTCCTGGCTGGCTTGCCCTTGGCTGTGGGCTTGGAGGTGGGGATCTGTCCTTGGTTTGCCTTTTTCTATGTTCAGAAAAAGAAAAGGGAAAGTAGGTAAGGGAGATGGGCCCCTGGGAAGTGACCAGTTCCCTGGGGATGTTCTATGACAGTCTTGCCAGACGCTCAGACCCTTAGATGTTATCTGACACCAACATGAGCAAGAGAAGTTTGGTACTCAACTTACCAAGCCCAGGCCTCCTCTCTACTGCCTCCACCCTTGATATGCATGGTATTGGGAGGGTAATGGTGACAGTAACAGCTGCTGGTTACTGGGCTCTTGCTTAGTGGACTCGCCTGCTCTCATGTCACTGTGACCACTCAGTTTAGTTTCTTCCCTGTCATGGTGACAGTGGTCCTTCATGGGACAATTCATAACAAATGGGGCTCACGTAACCTCCACTGTACAGATGAACAAACTGATGTTCAGAGTAGCCAGAATTTTTTTTTCCAAAGTCCCACAGGGTGGCAGAGCCAGAGAGCCCAGGCATGACCGCCAAGGCCTGTGTTTTTAACTGCTATACTGTGCAGGCCTTGATGTGGGGGGCAGTGGGGAGCCAGTGAAGGATGTGGTGCATGCAATGGTACCCTAGGAAGCTGGGGCAGGGTGTGAGGGTGACCACAGGTGGGGGAGGGAAGGTGGGGTGACCTACCTGGGGGCCCGCTTGCTGGTAGAGCATGCCCAGCCTCAACAGGTTGTTCCAGAAGCGCCGCACCGTGAGCCCCACAGACATGCAGGGCCCTGCAGCCGGGGCAGGAGGCATCATCTGCTTCGAACCAAGGTTCTCCAAGTAGTTTGTGCAGCTCTGAAGCAACAGCAGAAGCCTACAGGGAGAGATGCTAGTGTTGCTGGGGCCAGGCTGATGTGCCATCACACCACACAACTGGCAGCTCTGGCTCTGGGGAACTGGCCCAGGCATCAGGGACTTGAAAGACTCAGATATGCTCTGTAGGGCCAGCTTCAAATCTAGCCCAGGGTTTCTTCCTCCAGAAAGCCCTCTTTGGCTACAAAATTGACTTGGGAGCCTCTTCTGGGCCTCCTGGGTAGCAGCAATTCTGCCTGGCTGTTTCCCACTGAATCAGGGAGCTCTGGGAGGCCAGGTGGCCTTAGTTGTATCCTGAGACCCTAAAAGTTCTGGATGAGCAGCTAGCTGCCTTACATTAAGTGGCCTAGAGCCCTCGCTTTACAGATGACAGAGCTGAGACCCTGAAAGGGAAAGAGCCTGCCCATAGTCACATAGTGTGCAAGGGAGTATATGCAGTCTCCCACTTCTAGCCAGGGACTTCTGCAGGGTGTCAATGTGACAATGGAGCTAAGGTTAAGGCAGCTAGGTCTCTGTCCTAACCTCCAAGTTCAAAATTGGGGTCAGACACTAATTTTAAAGAAAAGCAGTATTAGATAAGTTTGCATTACATGGAAACCAAGTTATTTTAAAGGAAGAGGCACTGTGTTTACAACACACACCAGGAAGATGAGTGACCTTATCTTGTTGCAGGTGCAGGGGGTCATCCCAAAGCTGCTGGGGCTTGGGCAGAGAGGGCCTGGAGGAGGAGATGCCAACTGCCTCCAGACCCTCCTCTTTCTGACCAAGGTGCCCTCCTCTGTGAATAGGACAGTGGCGCTTGCCACAGTGCCAAGCAGCACTACCCAGTGGAAAGTATCTGAAAAGAGGACAGAGCTTCTTAGCCTTGACCAACCTGCCTGATCAGACAGACCAACCTTGTGGTGGGAGACTACTGTGCTGTCTGCATCCTTAGCTGTGATCCCTGCCATGAACTGAGCACCTCTGAGTGCTATATCACGTAGTGGAGGCCGCAGTCTTGTCTTCCAAGCTTCCCAGACTGGTCTGGGTGTCAGACCCAGCAGCCTCTGCCAGGAGGCTACAGCTAACTCAGCCAGAGGTGGTCAGAGAGCCAGGCAGGGCAGGGGGCATGTCAGCAATATGTTCATAGAGAAGGGGGTGGGTAGATGGGCCTTGTTGGTTGAGTGTGGCTTGGTCAGACCAGGAAGGAGCAGGCAGGGCATTCCTAGCTGAGGGAGAGCACAATGCAGAGCCGTGGAGGGAGGGAGGGAGGAAGGTGTGCTCTGTGCCCACACACATTCATCCCCTCTGAGGTTCCAATGGTGTTTTGTTTCGTTTTATTTTCTTGAATCAGAGTCTCACTCTGTTGCCCAGGCTAAGTGCAGTGGCATGTTCATGGCCACTGCAGCCTTGACCTGCTGGTCTCAGGCAATGCCTCCTTCTGCCTGAGTCTTCCAAGTAGCTAGAACCACAGGTGTGTGCCATTATGCCTGGCTAATTTTTTTATTTATTGTGGAGAATAGGTCTCACCAGGTTGCTGAGGCTGGTCTCAAACCCTGGGCTCAAGTAATCCTCTTGCCTCAGCCTCCCAAAGTGCTAGGATTATAGATGTGAGCCACCACACCCGGCCCAATGATGCTTTTGTGCGGAGGACTCCTCTAGGCCTGAGTGGTAACCCTGGCTTCTCTGTAGGGACCCCCAGGTAGGGTCCCTCTCATGTCTCTGCTGCCTGTCTGGCCCCCATGACTTTATTAGCATGTGAGGTTTTGAGCACCAAGAGCCTCGATGGTAGTCTCCAAGAAGTGGAAACTGACAGCCATATTCTTAATGACAGCATGGAAATGGGGCTGCAGGGGAACCCATGAGCCTCTTCCCAGCAGGGCCAGGATTTGGAAAAACATATCCCGTGTCTGGCCTTGTGACATTTAGAGGGAACAGCACAGCCCACAGGACGCCAGGAAAAAGAGCCCAGGTTGGAAACTCTGAGCAGCAGCTATGGTGTCCCCAACACACAGAAACCCCAGGAGGCAGATGGGAGCACCTGAGAGGCAGTGTTCAGAGCTGTGGTGCTGCAGAGTCTGACGGGGCAGCCAGCAACTTCCTGAGGAGACAGGATAGGATAGCCTAGCACAGAAAAGCATAGCACACCACACAACACAACAAAAGGTGATATCACTTTGAGAGTCCTAAGCTGAGCTGGCCCCCAACAGATACTCAGTCAATGGTAGCTGTTGTTACCAATGTCATCACCACCTCTGGAGGAGATTTCTATAGCTGCAACTGGCTTAAGGGACAGGTGCCACCATCCCAAGATGACCAAGTTGGGTCAAGGCCCTCACCTGTCAATGACCAGCTCCAGCAGCACAGCATGGGACATCTGTGTGAACTCGGGGTCACCCGGTACATGGTCATAGTACTCCAGCAGGGCTACCATGTCAAGGTCACAGGCCACACGGTCAGGGAATTTCCAGGAGGGAAAGTGCACAGGCCCAGCACGAGAGAATACGTCTACTATGGCGCCCTGCAGGTCGGTGAGGTCCTTGCGCAGGCTGTCCATGCAGGCCTGGCTGCCCAGCAAGTGTGCCATCCTCACAGCTCCTGGGGTGGGCAGAGAAGAGCCCTAATAGCTAGAGCCCTGTGGCTGCTGCTGGAGGAACCTCCCTAAGAACCTAATCTGCCTAGTGGGTCCTAGGGCCAAATTCCACCCCAGACCCCAGGGAGAAGTCTGTTTCCCAGCCCCGGATATCAAGACCTTTTGGGACCTGGTCCTGGGCAGCTCACCAGCCTCCCTTTCACACACCCTATTCCCACCACCCACACTGCCAAGTCCATCACCACAAGTCCCTCCTGAGAGCCCGTGTGCGCCAGGCCCCTGCTAAAGACTAGGAGGACACAGCTATAAACAAGAATGTACCCCCCATCCTTCCAGAGCAAACCATCGAACAGGGGCACAGACAACAGAAAGAAAGTTATTAGTTATTGCTACAGTGTGCCGGGGAGTGATGGGTCACACCATGCTGTTGTCATCTCCTTCCTAGACCATTGCAGCAGGTTCCAACTGGGCCACAGGTCTGCGTTTTCCAATCTGATCAACTCCAGCTCCAGAAATGTGGGCCAAACTCTATGTGACCACATCACACCAGGCAACAAGGCCTTGGGACTCCCTGTGGCCTGTGAGAGAAAGGCCACCTCTGGTCACATCCTTAACCCCTTCTTCTCCAGCATCCCTGCCCCCACCCCATAGTCTCCACTCCTGCCACCATCAGCTATGAGCAGCAGTTTATGTACACCAGGCACTTGTTTTGGGCTTCTGTCCCCTTTGTCTGAATCATGCCTCCCTGTTCAATTCCCATCACCTGGATAACTCCCCTCATCATTCAGGGTGCCTGAATATCACTTCCTCCAAGAAGGCGTGCCTGAGCACCCTTCCAGTCTGGGTTAGGTAATTCCTCTGAGCTTCCCCCAAGCCAGTTCTGATTGCTCTCTACTGGAACGGCCTCCTCTGCAGACCACCTTAGTCACTTGTGGTAACCCTGATGTGGCCAGCTGGGGGCCTGGCCCACTGTAGATGCTCACTGGCAAATGAATGACTGAGTGAGTGAATGGAAAAAAGACAAAGAATCACACAGAAAATGTAAAATGCACTGACTTTTGGGGAGAAATACATCCTAAAGTGTAAGAGGAAAACATGAAAACTTGTATTGAGACTTATTATAATCACTCTGGTGACAGGGAGTCCATTACATCTTTTTATATTTTTTAAACAGTTTTTTGTTTAACTGATGCTTGTTAGATGTACATAGTTTTGGCATACATGTGATAATATAATACATTCATATAATTTGTAAAGATCAAACCAGTGCACCTGAGAGACCCATCACCTTAAATCTCTGTCTTTTCTTTATGTTGGAAACATTCAAATTATTCTCTTCTAGCTATTTTGAAGCATATAATAGATTATTGTAAACAACCGTCATCCTACGGATCTAGCCAACACTAGGCGTTTGGGAGTTGGGCAGCTGTGAAGATGCTGCACTCTGGCCCCTCCCCACCTGCCTACAGGGGTCCCTATCCCTGTGGATTCTCAGTAGCCGGGAAGCACTTCATTGCATCACAGTCCCTCCCTGAAATGCAGGGGCTGCATGGGCAGTATTTAGGCTATGACAGCTTCTGTCCTAGCAAGACCCAGCCTGGCTGGGAAATCCCTTTTCTCTCAAACCTACCCTTCCCACCAACCTCTCTTACCTCAGAAAATGGCACTCTATGAGCACTGTAGCTGGGCCCAAGCCTGGGCACCTCCCCGAATTCTTCTTTCTCCTTCCCCCATGTCCCAGTACCAAGTGCTGATCCCAGCACTTCTGTTGACTGCTCCTGACCCCACCGTCTCCCCAGACCTCTGCCACAGCCTCCCTGAAGGGTCACTAGCTTCCCTTCTGCCCAGACTACCTCATCCACCCTGTGCACAGCAACCAGAATGACTGTTTTAAAAGGCATCCCGCTGGGAGCATTGGCGCACCTCTGTAATCCCAGCACTTTGGAAGGGAGAGGCAGAGGATTGCTTGAGTCCAGGGGTTTAAGACCAGCCTGGGCAACATGGCGAGACCTCATATCTACAATATATCAAAAAATTAGCCAGAAGTGGTGGCACACATCTGTAATTCCAGCTATTTGGAAGGCTGAAGTGGAAGGATTGCCTGAGTACAGCAGGTTGAGGTTGCGGTAGCCATGAACCTGCCACTGCACTCCAGTCTGAGCGACAGAGTGAGACTCCAACTCAATAAACAAACAAAAAATTAAAAGGTATCCTACCCCATGCTCAGTGCCTTATGTCTTCCTACAGCACTAAAGACTGGAACACTTCCTCTGGTTCCAGCCGCATGTAGTCTGCCCCTGCTTCATCATCTCCCTACCCAGAATATGCCCCCCTCCCCACACTTCCTCCAGATAAGACATCTCTCTCGGGTCTCTACCAAATTGTCCTCCCCTCAGGAAATCTCCCCAGGTCCCCAGGCCAGGTGAGGTCCCCCATTCCCCATTCCCAGAGCATCATGTTATTTTTCTTCCCAGCACACACTACCACTGGATGGAATCATTATTTGTGGTTTGCAGCCCATCTCCTTGTGAGCTCATGGCATGACCTGGCCCCCTGGGCCAAGAGAACTAAGAGCCAGCCTGTGCCCACAGGTGCTAGGAAGTGCAGAGGTGCCCAGAGGTGGTTTGTTAGAGTTGACCTGGACTCTCTGGCCCCCCAGAGGACTGGGCCCTCCCCTTACCAACACACAGGTGCCTGCCTGTGGAGCTGGAGCAACTGAGTGTGTCCAGCTCTTGGACAAGCTGGTGGACTCCGGGGCTCCTGGTCAGAGACTCATTCAGGTGCCTGGCATTCTGTCTCCAGTGCAGGCCTCGAGCAGCTCCTCAGGCCCTGGGAATGGATGAAGGCAAGAATGAGTGAATGTACAGTCAGGCAGCACTTCCTGGGGTTGGGGGGGTAGGGTGAAGGCTATCCGGGAAGAAGAGAAGGGTGTTCCAGGCTGAAGGAGGGGGGTGAGGGGAAGAGCAGGGCGGATGTCTGCCTTGAGCTTGAGCAGAGGGCGTGTTTCAGTAGTGCTAGCTCTGTCTAAAGAGCCTACTGTGTACCGTTCCCCCAAATCTGCCTCCTCAACACAGAAGAGGAAACGAAGGCTCTGAAAAGTCAGAGGGTTAGCCTAAGGTCACTCAGGGATCTGGGATTCTGAGTCCAACATCTTTGCTCTGTCCTCAGGCCATACTGCAGCTAGAGCAGCAGTGTTCTAACAAAAATATAATGCAAGTTACATGTGGGATTTTAGATTTTCTACCAGCCAGTGGTAAGAAATGCTACTTAAAAACATGACACCTTGTAAGCTGAGAACACTGTAGAAGGAGAAAGGCCATTCTCATCTTCCCCTATCCTTCTTCCCTGAAACAGGCCACTAGGAAGCTCACTCTCTGACCTTCTCCATCCCTTCTGCCCTGAAGACCCTCATGTGACAAGTGTGCTGCCCTATAACCATTTGGGAAGGAATATCACACAGGGATGCCAAGAAGAATCTGACCAAACAGGCCTTGCTAAATTCCTCCTCCCCACACCCATGTATTGCCATTAGATCATACTCTTTTGTCCTCTAATCATATTTCTATGTGATTGTCCACAAAAATACAAAATCTCCCCATTTCTTTGGGTCTTCTTGTCTGTCAGGGAAAACTTTTATTAAATAAATTTGTGCACTTTTCTTTGATCAATCTATCTGTTATCATAGGGCCTCAGCCATGAACCTTGTGATGGGTGAAGAAAATATGCTGCTTTTTCTCCTCTACATATAAAAATAATTTTTTTAAAAATCCAGGTAAATTAATTTTTTTTTTTTGAGACAGGGTCTCACTTTGTTGCCCAGGCTGCAGTACAGTGGCACAATCATAGCTCACTGCAGCCTCAAATTCCTGTGGGCTCAAATGATCCTCCAGCCTCAGCTTCCTGAGTAGCTGGGACAATAGGCATGTGGCACCAGGTAAATTATATTTAATGCATTGTACCCAGAACATTATCATTTCAACATGGTATCAATATAAAATTATTAAGCAGATTTTTTTTTTCTTCTTCTTTTTTTTTGAGTTGGAGTCTCATTCTGTTACCCAGACTGGAGTGCAGTGGCCGCTCCCGGCCACCGCAGCCTCGACCTGCTGGGCTCCAGCGATCCTTCCGCCTCAGCCTTCCAAGTAGCTGGAATTACAGGCACGCACTACCACACCTGGCTGGTTTTTTTTTTTTTTTTGATTTATTGTAGAGATGAGGTCTCGCTGCCCAGGCGGGTCTCGAACTCGCGGGCTCAGGCAATCCACTCACCTCAGCCTCCCAAAGGCGCGGGATTACAGGCTGAGCCACCAAGCCCAGCTAAGCAGATTTTTAAAAACTTTTTTTGGTATTAAGTCTCAAAATCCAATGTCTATTTGACACTTAAAGCACATCTCCATTTGTATCAGGCACCATTTCAAATGCTTGAAAGACACATGGGCTGGTCGCTGCTATATTGGACAGTACAAGTGTAGAGGCTCAGTTGCTGTGCGTGCATTCTGTAAACAGGGACTGAGTATCTACTATGTGTCAGGCACTGTATTAAGACTAGGGACAGGCTGGGTGCATTGGCTCACGCCCTAATTCTAGCACTTTGGGAGGCCAAGGTGGGACGAAGGCTTGAGCCCAGGAGTTTGAGATCAGACCAGGCAATAAAGCAAGACCTTGTCTCTACAAAAAAATCAAAAAGTTAGCCAGACATGGTGGTGTGTACCTGTAGTCCCAACTACTCAGGAGGTTGAGGCAGGAGGATGGCCTGAGCCCAGGAGGTTGAGGCTGCAATGAGCCTTGATCACGCCACTGCACTCCAACCTGGGTGACAGTGAGACCCTCAACTCAAAAAAAAAAAAAGACTAAAAGACTAGGGACAGATCAGGGTACACCGAGCCCTGTCCTACAGGAACCACCACCTACGTCTGAGGGTCTCTTCAAGGGGTAAGCTTGGGTATGGGGTGTGTTGGCTCCACACACAGGATGGGAAGCAATGTGTGTCCACCCTATGACACTTACATACACAAACACACACGCATTCCACATATAGGTTGCCTTAGCAACTGCCTCAACTGAGATATTGTTGCCTAAGAGGTTTTAAGTCCCCGAAGAGGGAAGGAGAAACAAAGGGGAAAACCAGATCGAGACATTCTGGGTTTCCTTCCTGGAATAGGCATGAAGGACATAAATCAAGCAAGAAGCCCCACCCTGGGAGGAAGAGTATTCAGGTGGCAGGCACCTGGAATTCACTAGCTTGATTGTGAAGTTACTAAGAAACGTTGATCTGTTAACCTTCAAAACTCTACAGCTGCCACCTGGATATTAACTCCTATTAGATTGTGGTTCAGGTAAGTAGCAGTGAATGCCAAAGTATCAAGAATATCCAAGGTCACCTATGTCGTTTCCTCTGAAAACTGAGATTATACAGATATAAAAGCACGGTTTGAGAAGCACTTAGGTGTGTGTCAAGTGAAGGAGCATTTGACATCGGTTTTCTCTGTAATTCCTGGGTCTTGAGTAGAACCCTCAGCCTGAAGCTGCCAGCCCTGCACTGCATTTGTGACCACACGAGTGACAACACTAATTGAGCCAATACTTTCTTTAGGTAGGAGCAGCTGTTAACTGCCTCGCTTCAGTTCCCTGGGGCTCAAGGTAAACCTCTGACTCCCAGAGAAGGGCAGGAACCTTTCCTCCACTCTTGTTCAACATCCAAGCCCCTTCAAGTGCTCTGAGAACTAGTACTCTAAAGATCATGCCTACCTCCCAGCCAGTGTGTCCCTGAGATACAAAGTCTCCACCATAACACACTCTGAAAACTCTAGAGCCATCTATATGGCAGTTGTCAGTCTCTAACCTGAAAGTGTTCGTTGTCTGGATCCTGGGGGACACTGAAGGGATCAAGTGAAGACAAAGAAATAACTAACTGCATTATAGAGGAGTAATACTGTCTGAGTTTGGATTGCCACTCCACCAACTCCAAACTTCATTGTCATCTGTAAACAGGTTACTATAAATAATAAATAAGCCGGGCTCGGTGGCTCAGCCTGTAATACGGCGCCTTGGGAGGCTGAGGTGAGTGGATTGCTCGAGCCCACGGGTTCAAGACCCGCCTGGGCAGGCGAGACCTCATCTCTACAATAAATCCAAAAATCAGCCGGGCGTGGTAGCGCATGCCTATAATTCTGGCTACTCGGAAGGCTGAGGCGGAAGGATCGCCGGAGCCCAGCAGGTCGAGGCTGCGGTGGCCGGGAGCGGCCACTGCACTCCAGTCTGGGCGACAGAGTGAGACTCCAACTCAAAAAAAAAAAAAAAAAAATTAACCAGGTGTGGTGGTGCATACCTGTAGTCCCAGTTACTCAGGAGGCTGATGAGGGAGATTTGCTTGAGCCCAGGAGTTCAAGGCTGCAGTGAGTTGTGAACATGCCAGTGTACTCCAACCCAGGTGACAAAGTAAAACTACAACTGGAAGGAAGGAAGGAAGGAAGGAAGGATTGATTCTTTAAATCCTTTGCCCACTCTTTACTTGGTTTATTTTTCTTTTTATTGTTGGGTTGTAAGTGTTCTTTATATAGTCTGGACAGGAGTCCCTTATCACATATATGATTTGCAAATACTTTATCCCTTCTATAGCTTGTCCTAACTTTTTTTTTTTTTGAGTTGGAGTCTCATTCCATCGCCCAGGCTGGAGTGCAGTGGCATGCTCACCGCCACCCCAGCGTCAACCTGCTGGGCTCAG